AATATTGCTGAATTATCCGTTCAAACCGCGGATGATCCGTACAATCCGGATGATCCGTTCAATTTCACGGATGATCCAGATAATCCGTTTGAATCCGACGGATGTATTTTTTGAGCAATTAACGGATGACGGGTTGATTTTTTGAGATAAATGACGGATGAACGGATGACGGATATCCGCGGATCGCATCTCTATTTCAGGGGGCTCGCTTATTAATTGGATTGTTGTCAGAGTGTCAAAGTCTCTCACTTGTCTAAAAGCTTCATCTGTAAAAAATTCTAAATAATGAAGGTGTGAGAGCATGGCATATTTGTGAAAATAAGATTTATTAAATCTGACGCCTCAGATTTATCCATTTGTTTTATTTTTTTGGAAATGATTTCTACAACTTGCAATTATATAAAATTGGGAAACATACAAAAAAAAAAAAAGGGAACCGAGTAGAAGTTCAACCACTAAAATATTCCACACCACTTTGGTTGACAAGGTGATGGAACCACGAAAAGGGGTTTGGATCAAAAATACCTCCAACTCTGCCAAAATTTTCACATTTGTTCTTTATCAATTTTATAGAATAATAACGTCAAATGTATTTATATTGTGACAAAAGGTATGCCACACACTAATACTAGGAAAGGATTAAACAATAATAGAAATTCATATCACTACAGATAATTCTATCAGTGAGTAGACTTGCTTGGCTTTTGAGTTCATCTTAGATCTGCTGTTGGTCAGACAGTCCCAGATATAAATGTTCACTTTCCAAATTAGAGATCGGAATCAACTGTTAGACAATCGATTAAAATTGTTGACTAAATAGTTGATTAGAAACAAAAGACTAAAATAAACGACTAGATAGTCAATTACAGTAATAAAACGGATTTATCTAATTGCTGTCCAATCGTATGTCAGACATGTGACCTAGCCTCTCATTTTATCATATATTTATTTAATTAGGAACAAAATATTTGATTTAAAGAAATTTAATAATGTCAATTTCAGTGTGGGTTTTGTTATGATAATTTATGTATGAACCAATGAGTACTCCTGATATAGTGTCTTTATGAACAACTAATAGTTGACTAAGGATTTCTTTGACCACCAACCTCTATCCCAAGCATCTTAGACATGCTCTCAAAAAAAAATCGCATCCTGTAAAATAATAATCAAAATTAACCAGTCAACAACAATACTGATAAAGTTGGTCTCTGGAAAAAAAACCAGCACACTGGATGCCATATACGGATCAAATTTTAGAGGATGATAGGATAGATTATACCAATACATAGAATTTTTATTATTGTTGATATGATGTGATGTAATCCATAATAGCATTAATGCAAACATTGTAAGATGCTTATAAACAATATCATTTTTATAATTCCTTCCAAGAACGCTTTTCTTTACGATTGAGAGTCTCTAATTGCCTACCCACTCCACCCAGGTAAACAAGAAAGTTTGGGATGGCCAAAGAAAATATTTATTATAACCTTCGGGTAATAGATTCATTTTATACCTTGATGATATAATTTATATATAATTGATAATAAAGGATTCATTTATTTCAGATTTAGCCAACATAAACTGTATAGATCGATTATATTTAAATCTTGCGTTTATATTTATTAAATATTCTTGATGCTTTGAAATTTTTTGCTTCCTGCAATTACATACATCCCATGTTCTACGTGTCACGTCATTGAAGAAAAAATATACACAATTATCAAATAACCATTGATTGATTCTTCGTTGGCCACCAGTCTGATCAATTGTTGGTTCATTAGTTGATTATAAATACTGTTAATATAAGCCTTTATTTTCCCCGAAAATATACTATTCCCCATTTTTATGATGTATGACGAAACTTTTGACTTTGCGTCAAGAGCCATTTTGGCTAAAGTAAAAATATTGACGAAAGTATATAATAAAATTATGAACTCCCGTTTGTGTTGAATAATTAAAGATTTTGTTTAATTAATTGATTAAATAAACATTTTATTTTCCATAAAGTATATTTGGGAAAGTTTTCTTTCAAAAACATGCATATAATACTGTACCATATACAACAGTTTAATGTTTCGTTTTCTCCAATTGAAGCTTCACCCTTACTTGTCAATCACCCTCTCTCACATTTGGTTTTTTAATAAAAGGCCATTTTTTCCTCTGATACTTTCATCATACTTAATATCATTATTAAATAAAAACATTCAAATATACATATGTAAACTCGATAAGTCGGTCACTCGATAAGTCGGTTTACTCGATAAGTCGGCCAAAATTTTCACCCCATTTTCTTAATATTTAAGTAATTTAATTCGATAAGTCGGTCATATGAGCTCACCCCCACATGACCGACTTATCGAGTTTACATATGTATTCTTTTCGTTGATTCCATATATTTTGGTACTTTAAAAAGATACATATCGTTTGTTGTAATGATGGATCTCAATTGAATGATTTTTGATTTCATCAAAGTTTTTGACTTTTTACTTTGATCATGACATGTCTTTACTTTTGTCATTTTGACTTGATGGTTTACAACTCTGATGACACTTATTATTGTTATGAAAATGGTGGTTATTCGATGATAGTCAAGTCATTCATAATAATAATAACAGAGAAGACAGAGATAAAGACAAATTAATTTGAATGATATTTTTTTTGTCATTATAAAACTAATAATAACAACATGATTCTTGGTGAACCTATCCAGAGGATAACCAAGTTAATTTTGAGTTTAATTATACAAAGTTAATTAATTACAAGGTTAATTACAAGTTAATTTGAATCTCAGTTTAAAAAAAATCAATCGAACGTTCGTTCTACTAAGTTTACATTATTTTCATTAGTTATTAATTAGTGGTGGCGATAGTGGTGGTAGTGGTAGTTAGTTAGTTATTATTATTATTATTATATACAATAAATTATTATCGATATTGAAGTGATACTTAATAGTAATAAATATTTTAAATTGTTCAATTCATAATTTTCAATAGAATTATTTGTGTTATTTAATGATGATGGTAATGGAGATGGGCTCGTTGATGTCGAGGGAGAAGAAGAAGAAGATGAAGAAGATGAAGACGAGGATGGAAAAGATTTAGGAGTCGGAGTTGGTAGTGGTAATATTGTCGGTGAGGGTTTTGTTGATGGTGGAGTATAGTTTGTTGGATTATAAGTGTCCATTGAATTTGTTGTGCTATAATAAAAATAAAATTATCAATTAATCTCTGATTGATGATAATGATGATGATGATAATAATATGATAACAATGATGGTAACAATAATAAATGAATGAATGAATGAATGAAATATTTACTTTGGTATAACGGTAACTGTTACATCCGGCCCTGTTGATTTTTTTGTAGCTGTATCCGTGACTGTTTTTGTTATTACAACTTCTGATGAAATTTCCAATGTGAAAAGGCTTAGTATTACTATTAATACCATTGTCATTATATTTAGATTTTTTAGATTTATTATATTTATTCTTAGATTATATTTATTGCTACCGTTTCTATTTTTATAGTTTTTATTATCGCCGCTGTATTTGATCATCATTTTAATTGAGAGATTTTGTCATTAAATTTTTAAAAATCAAAAAAGTTTAAAAAAGTTTAAAAAAGTTTCAAGTTAAAAAATCGAAAAGTTTTTTTTATTTTTTTATTTATAATAAATATTTTTTTTAAATCTAATGCTTTTTTAGTAAATTATATATTAAATATAAGGAAATGGGAACATGTTGCCACAATATATTTAAATCAATGCATTGCATATATAAAGTATGAATGAACATTTATGTCTGGAAATTTCAGGGATCATCACAATCGTACCACAAATAGTAATAATAGTAATAGTAATTCCAATTTTTGATGTTCCTTATCTTTGGTCTTGGTTTCTATCTTGCCAAACTAGTTTCCTATAACCTGAAATTGGTAAATAAAAAAATTATTTTTAATGTAGTGACAAAAAGTTTTGATCCAAAAGGAAATAGAACAAAAAGTTTGATTAAATTACTTTTTTTTTTTTTATGTGTGTTTTGGTTGCACAGTACGAATCATAGCCAACATTTACCTTTCTCTATACATACTAATCGTGTTGTTTGTGAAGCATCCTTTGCATCCATTAATGTTACAACCTGGTTGTTTACATTCCATCAGCTCTTCCAGTTTATGTTAGAATTGCCAGCAACTAAATTACTTGTCACGAATGTCTGAAAAAACTCTCTATCATAATCAATACCTTGTGTTCCAACTGGCGTATAATGCCGTTGTTACTCTCGCTGATGGTGCAACAAGACAGAAGCAGCCTGATTATACATCCAATGATGCTATTTGGCAAGGTGAAGAAAAAGTAGGGGAGGTCCATTTTAAGAATTTCCACAGTTAGCATATAACCATTCACATAAAAGTAATGTTACCTTCCATGTGATATAGATGAAAAACAAGAATAATTAATTTCTAGAATTTTACCTTCTCTTGCTTTGCCCCACTTCCATGAAAGGTGCCCAGAAAGCAAATACCTGGAGCGTTGAATTTCTCATCGTTGACTATTCATTCACCCAGGCTACCAATTGAAATTTGAAAGTTTCGACAAAGCATCAATGAAATCAACCAACGATATATGTGTTAATGGATACCAAAAAACTATATAACAACTTTTAGCATATTGAACGATATTCAACTTTTGAATTTTCCATCATGCTCTTCTTCCAAGTAATGCACGAGGAAAATTATTGATAGTAAACAAACAAAGGTTAAGGCAATTTTCTGTCTGTTTTTTTTTTTATTATTATTATAATAATAAATAACGTTATTGGGGTTACTATTGTGGTGCCCCTGAAATTTCTTTGTGGAATAAAATAATACATAATGATAATAACTTTTGTCTTATTTCCATATTAAATTATCAATGTGAGAATTACTTGTACATAATAATAATGATGCCATGATTTTAAGGTAATAATGAATGATAAAGAAATAGAGAAATATTTGTTACACGATGAACCTAAAAAAAATTTTTTTCTTTATTTATGATACATAAAAATAGATACACAAAATATATATATAGAAAAAATCATAAAAATAAACAAAAATACAAAAATAAATATATATGTACAGTAAAAATATTCAACAATATCCAAATAAAGCTTAATTAAATGGTCATTTAATAATTAAAAATGTATTTTAAATTATAATCGAGATCATTGTTGTTGTGGTCGTTGTTGTTGCTATTATTAATATTCACCAAAGAAATATCATTTGCACTAACAGAAGGAGGCAGATTAAAACTTTCTTTCCTGAAATCTTCTTTTTGGTAATCTTCTTCACCGCATAAAGTTGATGATAGAGATAAAGTAGATGACGAAGGTGTAGAGGAATAATAATAACTCGTTGGTGAGGAAGGTGATGGTGAAGTAGAAGAAGAATATAATGATAAAGGTGAAATTTCATCTTCTTTCATTTTATTATTATTATTATTATTATTATTATTATTATTATTATTATTATTATTATTATTATTTAAAAAAGAATTTATTATTCCATTCAATGATGATATTAAAGATGAATTATTGGGTGATGATTGTAATTGCTTGTCGTTGTTGTTGTTGTTATTGAATTGTGCTAAATTGGGAGAATTTAAACTAAATATTTCTATGACATCTCTGAGTGTCATGTCAAGAAGACTTTCAATTGGTGGTGTATGTGTTGAAGGTGTAGTTGAATTTAAATTTGTTGGATTTTGTGGATGTAGTAAACTATTTTCGTTATTGGCGTTAATTGGATCCTGGCTTATTGATAAATTCGATAAAGGAATCAATTGATCATAATTTATTGTATTGGCATTATCATTACTGTTGGTGGTGGTGGCAGAAATATTATTATCACTGGCGGTGGCATAGAATTTATTAAAAGTATTTTCAGCAAAGGCTATTTGATTGTTCATAACATCTGGTGATAAAGAAGATATGAAAATGTTGTTTTTGTTGTTGTTGTTTTGATTGGGATTGACGAAATTGTTTTTTTTGATTTTTTTTCTTGGTTTTTGTTGTTTCTGTTTCTGCCGTTGAAGCCTTTCTTCTCCTTCTTGTTGATTTTTATCATTTGAATTTTTCTTACTGTTATCATCTTCTTTATTATTATTATTATCGTCTTCATTATCATTATTACCATTAGCTGAGGAAGATTGAGGAGGTTGAAAGTTAACAATGTTCCATTTATCTCTTCTTTTTCTTCTGCCCGATTTTGGATAAACCTCATTTCTCATTGTCAGAGCATCTTTTGCCAACCTTTTATATTCTGATTTAACAAACTCTGGTTCTTGTTCCCATGACTGGGAGGCCATTGATGAGACGACGGTCATTGGTAGGTAGTGGCCTTGTTGTCTGGCTGCTTCCACGTAAACTTTACGATAGATTATAAACGCATTTGGTGCCCTAGCAGGAATTCTTCCGTCAACCGATTTCTTTGAAATTAATCCCAACGTATCTACTATTGGTGGAAACGGAGGTTTAATTACTACTGACGATGATGTCGAAGGCGAAGATGGTGTCATTTTTTTGTCATCATAATCCGAAGAATTATATAATTCGAATTCGTCAATACTATTGTTGTTATTATTATTATTATCCATTATTTTATTTATTTTTTTTTTTTTTTATTTTTTTTTTTAAGGATATTGAAGTTTATATAAAGGAAAAAAATAGACTTCTAAAATTCGACAATATCTTTTGATTTATTATATAAATAGATAAAGTAAAAATAAATAAATAAATATATATATAAATAGATTGATAGTGATAAATAATAAGGTTCAAATTTTGTTGTTATTTTTTATTTTGCCATTTTGTGTGAGGAGATTACACAAATTGAATTGTTCACAGAGTTGTCCTCAAACCAACGGCTAAACCAGATTTGAACGTTTTGACTTGGAAATTAAAATGAAAAGATGATTGATAAACAAACATAATCAAGCACTCATGTTATTTATTATTATCATCATCATTATTATTATTATTATTATTATTATTATTATTATTATTATTATTATTATTATTATTATTATCATTATAAATTAACATTATGACCCCAAAAAAAATGTGTAATCAACAACCAACATTACACAGGCATTGTTTCCTTTTTTTTCCTCTTTCGTGTTAATATTTTGAAATATTTCTAGATAAGTAGTAAACCTTTAATCTAATGGTTCTTACGAAAAGACATCAATTAATAAAAAAAAAAAAAATTTTTTTTTGACATTTATGCTGGTAATCGGATGAAAGAACACTACATTTATTTGTTATTTTAAAAAAAATTTTTTTTTTTATTATTTTTAGAAACGTTTTCATCGTCGATAAATATTTTCTAGATTTATAACATTATTTTTTTTAAAAAAAAAAGTATTAAAAAAAACTTTATTTTAATTATATATATAAGAATTAGTTTCTGCCTTAAATTTTCTAAATCAAGACAATAAAAATTCTTCCACTAATAAATAATAATATTATTGATGATATTCATAACTCGACAATTCCTCCTTTACTCAATGGACGGCAATGACGATGACGACCTATCATCATGATCAACTTTCTTCATGCAGGCTATGTTCTGTGTCGTAGAAACTCATTACATCACTTTTTTTAAAATTAAATCCCTTGGTCAACAAATCCTTCCATTCCACCCATAAATTCTTTGAAGTGCCAAATATTATAAACATCAAAATGCCCAATGATGCAATGACACCTTCTGCCATTACATATGTGTTAATGCTTGGTATGTTGGGAATTGAATATTGTGAACACACGTCTTGGCCATTTCCATCAACTATACATTCAAACCATTTCGATATCCATTCAGGTCTTTCATCAACCGGTGATTTCAACGCATCTAATTTCGACGCCTCAAGAACTATGAATAACTTTAAATAAATAAAAATAATGATAATTTTTAAAAATTTTTTATTTTTTTATTTTTAAAAAAAATCCACTTGCTTGTTATTGTTACCTACCTGATAGAGTATAAAAGCTGAAAGATATATTACAGCCAACATTAAAACACGCCATTGCATCTTTAAAACTGTTAAAAGATCTTGAGCTCTCATCCTTTTGTTATTGGATGGTTTAAATGGAAATGTACTAGTGATAATTGCTCTTGAACTTATCCAATATAGCTATATATATGTATGTATGTATGTATATATATATATTATATAGGTAGATGCAAATTAATACAATGATGATGATAATAGTAATATAATAATAATATTGATTTGTAAAAAAAATAAAACCTCGGCCATATGAACAATCGTCCAAATATGCATCATAAATCCAGGGATAATAAATAACATCAACGGATACCAAAAAAACCAACTTTTATAGCTAGAATTTACCATACAAGCAGGTCCAAATTCATAATCAATTTGTTTCGATATACCTGGCAATAATGTGAATATGACTGCTGTGGTGAAAATTTGTATTAGAAAATAGTTGTAATATTTTTTTACAAAATTCGATTTCCAAACTGCTTGAAAATGCAATTGTAAAATCAATAGGAAACAAAACAGTACAAGTAAAAATGACGAGAAAATCAAAGTTAATCCTACACAATTTTTAGGTGCATGTTTAAAAGAAGAAGAAAATTGCGTTGTTAATAAAGATTTTTTTTCTGTCTGCCAAACTCTTACCCTCCCCAAATCAATTAATTACCTTGCAATCCACAAGAAACAGGGTCATTAACAATGGTAGATCTAGTGACATCGTCATGACACATGGCATCCAGATTGCTTTTCGTATGAATCGAAATAATCCCAAGAAACACTAATAGGCTCGTATGAAAGAATAACACTGTTATTCCCGAGTGATCTCGTTTATTAGGCAACAGCATATAGCTCAACACTATAAACAGTACACACACGAACGAAATTATCCCTATGTAGCTCAAAATTGAATAAACATTATTGACTTGATTTGATTTGTAAAGATTATTGGCTATTGGACATGGCAGACAACATCCATTCTGTAAACATATTTTTCCAATATCATCATATTCACTGCTGCCGTTGTAGTTATAATTTATATTTATGTCCAATATCATCGGAGGTGGGCATCCTCCTGCAACGTGGTCACTTGAGCTATTGTTGTTGTAGGTCAATAACTCTTTGTTTTTTAATGATTCATCATCACTGGTAATAACTTTAGCTTCTAATTTACTACTACCAATTATAATGACGGTATCAATAATAATAAATAACGCTAATATAATGTATTTTGATTTCATTTGTAATTCTGGTTTATATTTTAAAAGCAAAAAGATGAGAGAAAAGCGAGAGGGATCGTGGAAAATGTATTATTTCAATAAAAATAAATTGTATTTTTTAAATAAAAAAGAAGTCATTACAATATGTATGATGAACGGGATAAAATTAAAAAATACCCTCATTCAATTAATTTCGATTTATTAATTATTTTAAAAGTTTTAATTATTATTTAATATATAAAATATAAGAATATTTTAATGAATGAATTCGTGTAACAATTATACCATATTAACTATTCACACGCAAAACTATTGTAAATGGAGAAGATCATCTTAAAAACCTTGGCTATTTAAGGAACAACCAATTGCTACTAAATTCGACGATCTAAATCCGTATGGTTCTATGGTAATCCATAACAATCAATGTCCGAAGTTTCTTTTTAGCAACACGATCTGTAATCAAGGCTTTTCTGGACTAAAAATTGCTCACGTGACTTGATTTTATCTGGTCCTGATTTTGCGTGGAGCGCAACAAAATTTTCAATGTAGTATATAGTAGTACTTGAACTTTAATCCAAAATTTTTGTATCAAGAAAACTTGTTCCTTATATATATTAAAACTACAAAGCTTATAAAGTTATCCAGTTAAACTTTAATATTTAACGTATCCAAATTTATTCTTATCATTGATTCTTATCATTATTCTTATCATTGTTGCTTTCAAATATTACACGTAATATATTTTTAAAGTTGTTTTCAAAAAATTTTCATTAGTTAGTGATTGGAATTTCCACTGTAACATTCTACACAGCATCTTTTAAGCCATCACATCGACAAATTTGGTTTTTTTTTCCTTCAAAGAAACGTCATTTACATTTATTAATGTTGTGTGTAACTACATGTCAATAAAATTTGATGGTCGGTACAACTTCTAAAATAATTTATCGCATGTATTTTTATGAATCTTGTTATTCATTTCATTTAATAGATTTAATAAAATGAATATCTTTACCAATTAAATTAATCATGACAAATATGCGTTAATTCATTCGTCATATTATAAATGGATTGATTATATGCTTAATTCTTCGGGGTTTCATATAGTAAAAATAAGTAGCAGACTTTAACGTTATCATTATTCATCGTTATTAAAACCATTATGGTTCTTAAAGCAGAGTGATTATGAATGAATAAATGCAATGAATTATTAAAAAATAAAATTGTTTGTTTTTACAAATTACTTTGGTCGGATGTAATAGCTACGCAAAGACCAGGTTAATAAAGATCCTTGCCAATTATTTTACTCTTTCTGTTGATTTCTCTCATGACACACATATCGTCATTCACTGTCAACAGGTTTTTCAAATATGTCATTGCAAATCTTTACTTCACGCGTTTGCCATCTATGAAATAATGTATTCAGAAGAATATATTTCAACAGCAACCAAATATACACAGTTCGTTATAGCAGATACATAGTCAGTTTCACTAATCACAGGGAATTTGTGCTGGAGATTTTCGTATTAACGTTTTTTGTTATTATAAAGTTAAACATTATTAACCTATTTTTTTTTTTAGACACATTTAGAAATTAAATTGACGATCGTTGCGAAAAATACAAAATATTTTAGTAATAGAAGACGTAATAATAAAATAAACAATCATTGTGATGGATGAACAATGCAGGGCAGCAGAAAGACTTAAAAAACGTGATATACAATCTACATTAAACAATTCCCAGACAAATTAAATTAACTTCATTTTGTTGATAAAAAGCCCCTGCATTTGTAGAATAGTTACGTCCATTATACTATGAAGAGTCGTATAACTCGTATTTAGGGCCATTCTGATGTTCGAAATACTGTTTATAGCTATATTCCCTATTAAATGGTTGGTTTGACATACTATATTTCATTAACGAAAGGTATAAACAACGGTAGGGTAAACTTTCTGGTAAATTCGGCTGCGCCATCTACCCAAATATTAATATAAACATGTTAATTTTTTGTGGTTCGAATTTCAGACACTGCCGATAAATCAAGATGTTTTTCTAAAGCGAAAACGAGATTCATGTTTTTATACCAAGTTGGAATGCCAAGGATCAGAGTAATAATAGTAATAGCAAAGTAAATGAGATAAATTTTATGGGATGGACCTAAATCCAGTTTAAATCAGGATTAGTATTCTATATTAAAAAACCGGATCGATCTAAACCTTATTATTGTTGTTGTTGTTTTTTTTTTTTTTTGTTGTTATTATTATTGTGATAATAAGTTTGTGATGGGCGTTTGGACATGAAATCCTGATTTAAATTTCAAATTTCACATGTAAAATAATAAATATTGATTGACATCATTTATGAGTGAACAAATCTTCTTTACTGGTTCTTTTTGATCGTTTTCACCCTCGTTTTTTTTTGGTTTTTTTTAATAATGATTGTTAGTTTTGAAGACAAATTAGCATGTTTCTCGATAAATCTGAACCTTAAAAAGATTGAAAGGTTGCGATAAATAAATAAAAGATATTTACTTTGTTATAAACAAAAAAATGATCGACTAAATTTTATACAGATCATTTTCTTTGAAAAAAAAAATTTTTTTAAATAAAAAATAATTAAAATAGGAAAAATTTGGCGAGAGCTTTATTAAATGGTTATATAACTTCCAAAACTATGTATTATGTTGTGTTTATTTTTAACTGCTTTACAAGCCTACCTAAAAATAATCAATAACTTCAAATTGTAATCCATATAAACTCTATAATTTTTTCATAATGATGAATTGTTTGAGTCTATCAACCTGTCACTCATCAGGAATCTTGTTATTAAAATTAATAAATAGTACATGTATCTTGAAATATATTAATAAAAAATTTTTTTTTTTTTTTTTTTTTTGTGAAAAATTGTTAGTTTTATTTATTTTTACACAACATTTCTTCATGCTATGAAAACTTTTCCCACATGTATAAACATCGTGACCAATCTTTTGCCCCACCTTTTGATTTTAAATTTTTTTAAAATATTTATTTTTTTATTTTTTATTTTTTTATTTTATTTTTTTATTTTTTTTATTTTTTTTCCTTATGTATAGTAAATTGTCATTGTTATTCAATTGTTTTGTGTCTAGACCAGTCTTTAATGAACCAATTGTGTACTGATTTGTATTGGATTTGTTTAGTATCTTCAAGGTTGTTGTTGTTGTTAGTGTGATTATTGGTTCAATCCTTACTATGTTTGTGGTTTTTTTCTTCCTTTTAATTTCCCCTTTCCTTCCATTCATCATAGAATTCTTAGTTTGATTGTACAATTAGTTGTGTGATAATTTTATTTGTTTTGTTTTTGAAGATGTTTTTGATTTTTTTGTAATTGGTTGGTTCATGCTAAAAGTGAGAAAATTAGTTTCTTTAGATCAGTAATATATTATTAATAAATTAATTTGCAAATTTTTTGATATATATATATATACCGTAAAGTCTGGAAAGATAGCATCCCTTTTTACATATGTGTAACATTTTTTTTATATTGACGCTCAATTGTTTTAAAGTAGGGGGTGCTATCTTTCCAGACTTTACGGTATATATTACTTCTTTACCTACTTATTATTCACTCACTATTATATTATCATTTGTAAATAAATTCTAATATGATTGGAACTATAAAAATAACGAATATGAATAAATTATTTACTTTTATTCCCTATTTGCATTTTTAACATATTTACCTCAAATGACTCTGAATGATTTTCAGCAAGTGCAGCAAATAAGCAGGGTGCAATCGATCTTGACGTTCTATTCATTAAAGTTCAAAAAGAAGAAAAAGAAAAAAAAAACTTAAATTCAAACTTAAATTATGTAAATTTTAACAAATTAACAGATCATTGTAGAAATCTACCAATTAAAATAATTAAAATCAATCTCAAATCAGAAAATAATTTGCCCAAGCAGGTTAATGCTATTTATCCACGCATATTCCATAACTTTCTTAATTGAAATATGTAGGTAAATACATGTGAATAGAATTTCAGTAACTCCTATACTTTTTAAAATTTGTGCAAAATTTAGGAGGTCTTTAGACCGAGCCAACTATATTTGATTTTTCTTTCTAGGCTACTCTTTTGCTGAATTTGTTGGTTTTGTTCTTATCAGTTCAAAAACCAATGTTCCATCAAATATACCATCTGATGATATAACATATAATTCAGTAACATCATTTACCAGTTCAATTAAGTAATTTGAAATTGCCTCCTTTAATCAACATGATTTTTTTCCTACTACTGCACAAAACCCAATTGTACTTGTTACAATAATGCAACTCGCTTTCTGGACTTGAGTCCTATTTATGGTGTCACTGCTGAAGATGCAAATCATTTTCATGAGGAAATTAAAAACCAATGGAATGCATATGATCCTTATGCATTTAAGGATCTAACAACAGGAGATTACGTTACTAGATCTACCTCCAAACAATCAAATGATATCTATACAATGGCTATTCAGGCTATTTGGTTATGTGGTTATGTGATGATGCACGGATTGATGATCAATATTTTGAAGAGGCTGTAAATTTTATATTTAATAATATAATAATAATATAATAATAATTAATTTTTTAAAAAATTTTTTTAATTAATCAGAAGAAATGGAACATTGCATTTTATCAAAGAGTTGTTACAGAAGAATACGGTGTTATACTGGGTAAACCGCCACCAGGAATTGATATGTTTTTGCACCATAACATTCGGTTATGATCATAGTAAACCAAGTGATTTTTACCAAATCCAAGATGGATATGTTGATGCAGCCATGTAATTATCATTACAAGATATTTTAAAAATGAGTTTACTAGAAAATTTTGGTATAGAAAATTTGTTAGGATCAATGTTTTTGCGACATCAAGGAGATGTTGATATATATTATTCTGATGCAACATTTGATATTTTAAGATCTAGAGATAGAGGTATGAATTCATGTGTGTGTGTGTGCATATTCTTTCTTGTGTGTTTTTATATATATATATATGAGATAACGTACAAATTTTTTTAAAAATTTTATTATTAATACATAGGAATTGCATTATATAACGATATTTGTCAAGCATATGGTTTAAAAATTTTTTTCATGGAAAAATATAATATCAGTTGAAGAAATACAAAATTATATAAGAATGCTGTATCCTAATGGGCACAATCAACCAGGAGCACTAGTATGATCACTCGAGAAATAAAGTTAATGTTTATATTTATTATTATATTATTACTAATTATTTTATTGTTTGGTTTACCATTTATTTATTATTTTTCATTGCTTGTTTTATCATTTTAAAATTTATGAATATTAGAGATTTTGGTGAGGGGACAAAGAACAGCTTATTTACTAGGACGGTACCGCACTTAGAAATATTACATTTAGAAATATTATTATACGTAATTTAGAAGAGATTTAATCCAGCAATCCCATAAAATATTAACCAACACAGAAATTGCATGAGCCATCAAAATGTCGCCTTATGGCCGGAAGTATATGTTGTTGGTCATAAATTGTCGGAAAATATATTAATCTCCAGGCCTAAATACTAATTACAAATGGTAATACATGATTTGGAATGGTGAGTAGGTTATTTGTTGTAATTATGACAATGATGGTGATAAAATTTATAAAATATATTTATTTATTTAAATAACAAAATAGGGATGATAATTGAATGAGAGGCACAGATTTTGAGACCGGACCAACATAACGCTAATTAACTAAAGAATTATCTTTTCTAATCTATCTCTACATCAGAGAAAATACTCATTCCTTGGAACTAACCAGCCGGTAAGAATTTATGAAAATAAATCTTTCAGATATTATTATTATTGACAAGGAATGGAAAGAAAGAAAATAGGAGAAGTTTATCTGTATGTTTTTTGTTATATAAACTTTCTGTATTAAATCTTTGGATGATATTTTATTTATTATAGTGTCACCAATCAAGTGTGCAAGAGTTATTTAAGCACACACGTATATATCTCTCTTTAGAGGATGCACTAAACAGGAGGTTTGATAATATTCAATTACTACAACAGTCATCAATGCATATATATATCTTTAATTTAGTTGCTAAAATTTTTCTTTTTTAAAAAAAAAGGTGATCGATAACAAACAAAATTGTTAGCAATTGGTTACATGATAAAATCTGAATCAGAACCTTGTTTTTTATTTTATTAAAAAATAATACAAAAAATTTTATAAAAACTGGAGTTTTATGTTCATTAGAATATTCATACCTTTAACATAATCACAACCTGTTGTTAACCACACAGATGCTTTAAGATTTGCCATTTGGCATATAGTACAAAAGCATTAGTTTTTGATTTTCAACAACTTCAAAATTTTGGGGTTTCTTTTTATGTCATTCAGAATTATTATTACTTATCTTTTTTTCTTTTAATTCCACTTTGACAATAATATCATCAGATGGGTCAGATGATAATGCTTCTTAATTTACTGGTTAGAAATATTATAAGGAATTAATTTGAAAATTTTTTTTGCTGCCTTGCACTCATTTTTCATATGTGCAAACCAAAATTTTAACGTGCGTGCACATTTTGCACATGGATTTTATATATTGTAACCAATACAAGCAGAGCTAGACAATTCTGATGGTGGTTGTTTTATTTGAGAGATTAATAATTATTATAAACGACTTGAATTCAACTTTTGAGAATAACTTTTCTTAAAAGAAAGTAATAACAAGTTTTGACTTGATAACCAAAAATTATTCACTAATAAATAACCTATTCGGTTTAGTTACAATATGTTATTTTATTGTAATTATAATAAGGTTTTCCCTATACTATTAGTATAAAATCTTCCTCAGTATAACCTAGATTTCTTAATGATTGCTCAACAACACTTATCATTCCAGGTTGTCCACAAACAATTATTTTACTGTTATGATTAAGTTTAGGTTTCCTATTATAATTATCAATAATAGTAGCATTGTTACTACTAATTTCACTACCAGTATTTATAACAGATGATGATGGTCTTGAATCAATTAATAAATTATTATTGTCATTATTAATATCCATATTATCATTCATGTTACTATTCGTATAATTGATATTCGTATTATTATTATTATATGATGTATGGGGAGATAATAGTTGTTGTGGTGGTGATGAAATTGTTGAATATTGTTGGAAATGGAATTGTTGACGTTGTGGTGGCGGTGATGATAATAATGGTGTTCTATAATGTTGATAATTTGGACTTAAAGCACTTTCAGGATTAATTGATGATCTGTAAGAAGTATTCTGATCATTATTATTCACTATAATTGGTGGCAGTGATGGTTTACGAGGTTTTGTATGCAGTGGTATTATTGGTGGTGAATTATTGTTATTATCATCATACAATAAAGGATTATGAAGTTGTGGTGGACTTTTACTAATTGACGAATTTGTTGTATTTGTGTTATTAAACTGTAGTGGACTTGTACTAACTGGCAAATATGTTGTATTTGTTGTGTTGCTATTATTTTTAAATTGCATCATATTTGTCATTATTGAACCAACATATGGTAAACGGTTTTTAGTACTAGGGGAGTCTGCTATAATCGTTGTGGTGCTGCTGTTGTTGTTGCTGCTGCTGCTGTTGTTATTGTTATTGCTATTATTGTTGTTATTGTTATTATTATAATTGTTGTTATTATTATTATTATTGTAATTGCTATCATTATTATCGTAAATTTTATTATTATCAGTTTCATCAGCATTGACAATAAATTTACTTAACCAATCTGAAATCATTTTTTGATCAATATCACCATTTTCCCCTGTCCAAACTTGAGTTGGTTCATTTAGTGCATATGTTATAGTTAGCATACCCCTACTACTTAATCGATACTCTTCTAGTTCTACACCATTAATTATATCCTCTATTTTATGATTACCATATAACAAATGCATTGATACTCGTTTATTACGCATTGTTGATGTATGACTACGTCTCATACACAATTCCAAATGGTATGTTATCAACTATTTCATTATGATAATGATGATAAGTATAAATGATAGAAAATAAAGAATTATAAATACATTATTATTCTACAACAGAAACTTACTTGTAACATTGGTGTAATTCCAGTACCACCACAAATCATGTATAATTCTTTCCAATGACCATCACGAGTATTAGGATTAAGTAAAGAACTTGTTGATGAAGATATGAATGGTGGGATGCTTTTTGCATATATACTTGATCTTCTATATTGTGATGTTGCATCAACAGTCTGAGATAATAATGGTGATTGAAAAATTTCTCTATCTCCAACATCAAATGGCCCTCTTACTTGAATCTCGTATCCTTTTAATTGTTCATTCTAAAGCATGATTGATTATTAATTAATTAATTGATGGATTTTAATAATAATAAATATAGCACTATATAATTACTTAATCATTTCAAATCTTACCAAATGTCGTGACATTAATCCATCTGGATACACTTTAACAAAAATACTAAAACTTTGAGCAATATTGCCTTCTATTGGTGTATAACTTCTAATTACTACTTGTCCTTTAATTCTTGATTGCACTTCAATATAATGTCCTGGCAAGAATTTCAATTTATTATTATAAGCTTCAATTTCATTTTCATGTACTATTGTGAATGTAAATTTCATTACTGGATACTTTTTACTGCCATTGATAGGTGCTTTGCTTGTCAATTTGTATCTGCGGAACTTTATTCTAAATACCGTATCTTGTTTAGCAATTTCCTCATCACTTAATCCCCCTTCTTCATTATTAATACTTAAAATTTTTGGTCCAAATATTGGTGCAGTTGGTGATTCAACAACATTTGGGTTTTCTTTTAATTTTGCCACAATCATTCTTGCTATTTTCTTAATTGCAAATAGACTATGTGGGTGTATAGCCAAAGGTGCCTTTAAGAAATACTTAACATTCATGTCATCAACAATTTGTGCAAGAGAATTTCTTTGAGTTGTGTATTTTTTGATTCTCTCATGTAAAATATTTGTATATTGCCCTAAAATTGATGTTGACATGCCAGTTGGAACAGTTTTTATTTCTGGCACAATAATCTGTTCAATAATCTCATCACCTTTATAACCAAAAAAATCATTTGTTATATCTGTTCCTATGACACGTTCAAGGATTTTTGCTCCACCAGGATGTACTTTAATCCATTTTCTCATACTAACAACAAATCCATCACAAACTACTAAATATGCTCCACGTTGAACACGTTCATTAACTTCTCTCCATGTAAATTCTGGCAATTTATCAAGATCTTCTTTGGTAATATGCAATGAAAGAATGGAATTTTTTTCTTTTTTATTTTCATTTTCTTTTTCAAAATTCAACAAGGTATATTTCCATTTCCAAGTTCCTTTCCAATTCCACCAATATTCACCAAACATAAATGTTAATATTACTATACTAATCCATATAAGATATGCAATCCTATAATATAATGATTCAAATCCATAAGATAAACAATATGTCTCAATTCCCAAATATACATTTGCCCATGCACACATTAATAAAGATATTCCAAAAAACCTGTGAATTCTTTTAAGAAATCTAGGGTACCCTTGATTAACTGACACTATTGCTACTTGACCCCAAATTGATATTAGACCTAATCCAAGTTCAATAAATAACAAACTATATATTGTCAGTCCTACCAATGAATGATTTGTTATTGGACTAATTGTTGCCAAAGCTGCTGCACCAAAACCACAAATACAAATACCACCAAGCAATTGTATAAATCGATGTATCTTGATGTAATTATTGGTGTGTTTGTAATATCTTACAATATAAATAGAAATGGGAAATAGAACACTATTATGGAATTGATATGGGTGGAAATGGCATGGAAATGATAATTAATGATTTTTTCATAATGTGAGACAAATGTCTTTAATATTTAACATGTATTTAATATCAATATCATACCACCAAGTTAAGAACATTCCAAGTCCATGAGCTAATTTTGCTAATCTTTGACCATTAGATATGGATGGTGAAAATTTATTATTATAAAAATCATATAGTGTCATTTGACGATTATTTTGATGATATGAAAGTACTGAACTTCCTGGGTTATAAGCCAAAACATCTAAAAACCATCAAATATAATTGGATTATTGTTGTTATCAATATTGTTAGGAGAAGAATAATAAGAGAAATTAGCTTGTAATATTTTTGTAAAATTATCAACAAACAAATAAATTACATTTCATAGGTCCATTTCTAATCCCTTTTCTTCCATTAGGTACCAAAGGTCTTGAGAATTCAATAGTTGCAAAATTATTTACAATGGGAGGTGGATCATTAATTATTGTTAAATCTGAATGGTCATCATCTTTTATAGGAGGGTTGTAACCAGTTGGAGCAGATCGATAGTTTGATAGAGATACATTTCCATTTGAAATCTAAAAAATAAAAATTTCAATGTTATGTTTTATGTTTTATGTTTAATTTTTACAAGATCATAAAGCAAAAAATAACTCACAATTCCAATTACAAAATCTGCTCCAGTCATTCCAGTATCATCAGGATCAAATCCCTGTTTTATTTTTAAATATATATTATAAATCTCATCACCATCATCATAATAATTACAACATTGTCAACTATATAACTAACTTACCATTCCAAACCATGCATTACCATCTGTAGTCAGAATTTGAACTTGGAAATTAATATTTTTTTCAACAATGTCATAACTAACAACATATGAAGTTGGCCATAAAGCAATACGATTAAGATATTTTGATGACTGAGACAATTTTTGTGTTGGTTGAACTGACCAAATATTTGGTGGAATTGCTGGACGAGAAATATCATCCAAATTACGTATAATAATGTCTCTAAATGTTGTATTTCTAAGTGTAACTCTGTCTTCATCAGTAAACAAGTTGTTCTCTTTGTTTTCCCACCAAAATCTATCTGAATCTCTAATATTGATAAACTAAAATAAATCAATAAATGATAAAGCAAGCAATGAATAATAAAAAAATAAATAAATGGTAAATCAAATAATAAATAATAAGTAATAAGTAATAAGTAATAAATAATAATAATATAAATATAATTTTATATAATCATTTACCTGAGTGATCATGCTAGTGTTCATTAGTTCACCAAAATTTGATCCATTCAAATGATCTTCAGCCATTGCTCCAACCAAAGCTTCTAATTGATTAGTTCCATTAGGATATAATTGTTGTAGATAATCTTGTGTTTCTTTAACTGAAGTTATATCTGCCCATGAACCTTTTTTTTCTAAACCATATGCCTGACGAACATCATTGTATAATGCAATTCCTATAATAAAATTTAAAAAAAAAAATTTATGAATACACAAAACATGTATGCACACACACACAAAAATTCATACCTCTATCTCTAGCTCTTAAAACATCAATTGCTACAAGATCAGTTGGATCAGGTGCATTAACATTTCTTGATGCATCAGAATAATGTATATCAACATCTTCTTGACGTTGCAAAGACATTGATCTCAACAAATTTGCTGCACCATATTCTTCCAACAAACTTTTATTAAAAGTATCTTGTAATGATAATTCCACAACTGTATCACCATATTCATCTTGAATTCGATAAAAATCACTCAGCTCACTGTGACCATACCTGAATGTTATTGTTGCAAAGAAAACATCAATCCCTGGAGTTAGATCTGGATCATATTTTTGATATGGTGGCAGTGGTCTACCCATTACAACACCAAGATATTCTTCTGTAACAACCTTTTGATAGAATGCAATGTTCCATTTCCTCTGATTGATTAAAAAAAAATCAAAAAATATTATTATAATAATTATTGTTATATTATTATCATTATTAAATATAAAACTTACAGCCTCTTCAAAATATTCATCATCACTCCATGCATCACCATTTATTTCATAAAACTGATCACATAATCTATTGTGTTCACGTAACCAAATAGTCTGAATAGCAATTATAAAAATATTTCCTACAAATGAATCCTCATATGGGTAAGGATTAGCCACATCTCCATTGGTCTTTAATTTTCCTCTATTACCCTCACGACGATTTTTTGCATCTTCAGCAGTGGTACCATAAATAGTACCCAAGTCCAGGAAAGGAGTTACAGTATTGTAACCAGTACGTTTGGGTTTTTGTGTAGTAGGAGGAAGAAAATTTGATCGATTAAAAGCAAGTGACTTCAAATTACTTAATTGACCTGGTAATGATGTTGCTGGATTATATGTTGCATCATCATATGGTATATACAGTTTATGATCTGATGGAACTTTGCTTTCTGCATGGATAATATCAAAACCAACAAATGCAGCAAAAAAAGTAGCCTAGAAAGAAAAATCAAAAAAAAAATTGATTTGAGAAATAAATACAAACAAATAAAATAATTGTTAAAAAATTTCTTACCAAATGACTAGTTTGTCTTTTAGATCGATAACTCATTGTCTTTTTAATATCAAATTGATCTAAATGATAATTAGTTATAATATTAGAAATGCATCTTGGCATTGGATAAGTATCAGCTGGTAATGGATCAATACACTTGGGTACTGGTTGTTTTGGGTCAATATCAACAACATCAGAAGGGGTTTTTATCATTGAATCTCCATCTGGGCTAATATTATTGATGAAAGAAAAATTCTCAAATCATTAATTAATCACTAGCAAATCATTAATAAATCACTTAATAACAGCACTAAAAAAATTACCCAAAAAAAGGTTCAGGTGGATATTTCTGATGAAAATTTTGATTTGGAGTACCAGAATCCGGATCTTTTGAATTATTATCACTACCATCTATAAGTCGAGACTCTACATTACATGATAACATTAAAGATATTATGAATAATATCAGCAAAAGCAGATGTGATTGAATTGACAAATCTCCTCTTCCTCTTTGATGATTATAAAACATTTCTATTTTTTATTTTTTCGAATAACAAAGTGATTTCGTTCTTAAAATAAAATAGTTGAAAAAATGTTCATGTTTATATGATGTTTGTTTATTTCCAAAAATATCATTTTTGATTGTGTGTGAAAAAAACAAGTAAAACTTGCATTATAAAGAACGTCTACCAGAAAAAGCATACTAAAAAAGGTAAATAATTTCCAATTGTAAATTTTTCACTAATGAATTAATTTATTAAGATTTTCATTTAGAAGAAACACAGCCAAATTGTAATTTAGGTTTTTATTAGCGAGAAATAAATTAATAAATGCGATTGAACTTTCGGTCAATAGGGCAAATTTTCTTTGATCCGATAAGAGATTTAAGTATTACTTGCTAGCAAAGCAAAATTCAAATATTGGCAAAGGTTATCAATTAAAATTAAAATACATATAAATAGTCTTTCCATGTAGCATACTACCTACTCGTCAAAAAACTAAAGTTTTAAGGTCTAGAACTGATTCATTTTGAAAAATCTGATGAAATTACTATTATTATAGCAACCGGATTCAAACCAGATTATTTTTACGTATTAATATTAATATAAAATAAAAATATTCACGTGGTGACATTTGAAAAGGATTTTTGATCGTCCTACAGGGACGATGATTTTTTATGCAATTTACATAATCAAATAAAATTGACATAGTAATAGTATTAATAGTAATAGTATTAATAGTAATAGTATTAATAGTAATAGTAGGTTTTCGAATAATAATAATTATTATTATTATTATTATTATTATTATTCGAATAAAATAAAATTTGTTTTCTTTATCAATCTATTTTTCTTTAGTCATTGAATATATAGTGATAATAATAAATAGTAGTGGCTGACATTTTTCTTAAGTTATAGTACTAGCAACCATAGTAGTGGTAATATAGATTATAAATATAACTACTACTACTGTTTATATTGGATAATTCGAATAAATTTTTTTAATTCGAATTAAAATTATAATTACATGAAATGTTGTACAGAACTCATTGCTCGCCAGTATACAGTTGTTTGTATTGCAAAGCTACGTTGCACAATATAAAAATGTTTCTAAATCAATGATGTTACACAGCATCAATTTATTGGAATGAATATATATATACTCGAGTAAAATAAAAAAATATTGTTACATGATTTTTTAAAAAAGGATTTGCGGATGTCATAATTTCCGCCCGAATTTAAGCTGCCAAATTCCTCGCGAACATAATAATAATAAAATACATGTACTAAAAAGTCAACAACCCACCAATATTTTAAAAAAAACCCTCTGTCACATTAAAGCTTGGGACCTAATCTATGTCATAACAGAACTATTTTTTAAAAATGATATACAGAAATGAACTTCTATTCTTTTAAAAACCACATGCAGAGTTGGTTGGTTTAAGAGGTCCCGCAACACAGGACCCAGGCCTGACATTTATTCCTATTACTATGTTCGTAAGGATACAGCTTTGGTCGGCTTAGCCAATTGCTCATTAGTTGATAATGTACATGAACAAAACAAGAAAATTGTTTGATTGCTTCATGAGCTTTTTTTACAATTGAAGAAAATCTATTCTGTTGTTTTGATAGGTGAAAATAAACATAACCATTTGTATATACAAATATGTTTGTGAATTTCTTGTTTTTTTTTTAAAAAAAAATAAATTTATTTATTTCAAACATTAGTGGCTTATTAATAGTTTTAACTTCTGTTGAACAATTAAATCAAAATAATGAGCCACAATCTTTTAGTAAAGGAAAGTTCAGTAGCATAGATAATGATACAAAAAGTTGCAAATATGATTATTACCTTTATAATGATGAATGACATTCCATAACAACCTTACCAGCAAACACCAATAACACCAATTAACCAGAAAATCAATTTCATTACATTTTATATAATCTCACTTCAAAAATAAACCCAATCCAACCGTTATATTTACAAAAACAACAAGAACATATATTACTACAAATTTTTCTCCAATGTTCAACAAAATAAATAAATGAGGATTCATTGGGAAATAACATTACGTCCTCTGAAGGTATTAATATTGATATAAAGAAATTTACTGATTCAATAATATCATTGTTATTTTGATAATTAATAAAAAATAAACGTTTACAAAATAAGAACTCTGATGATTATCACGAACATTGAACCAACATATTTATTTAAAATCACACCATTGAATTGAAGCAGATTTTATATGAATAATTGAAATTTATGAGTTGAAATTTGAGATATTTATTATACAACCTTCCCATAGCAATTTCGGATACTCTTTCTAACTCTTCTTCATCTATACAAATCATAATGTTGCTAAACATAGACTCGGAATAAATATTTTTTGTACATCCAATGTATTCATCAGAACAAAATTTTGCAGTTTCAAACAGTTGGGTCTCTGTATGTTTATTTATAATGTTTTTGTCGACTCTTGGATCAATATCAAGGAAAGTATCCCAAATTAAAAATCAAAAATCAAAAGAATCCCAAATCCAAAATTACTTTGTACATCTACACTTATTGGTTTGGAGGCAGAATGCCATGGGTTTGGGAATTCTTTGATAGGCTACCGCAAGTTCACTTTATACATTCGGGATTTGTGCAGCATGTATAGTCGAGACACCACAATCTTCATCTACAAAATGCACCAATTCAAGTTAAAACATCACCATTGGTACATCAATCAAGAATATATAAAAATCCAAATACTTTGTGAAAATATGAGGACCACTCAAAGTGTGTCAAAGAAGATAAAAGGGTAAGTCAGTAATAATGGATAATTGTTGCTAGAGTTTCGAGTATCCATAATTTTTTTAATAACTTTAAAAATGTGTACACAGTGAGTCTCGGTATAGCGGATAATTTGGGCAATTAGAACAAAAATTTCAAAAATCCGTTATACCGAGATT